ATAATATTAATAATAATAATAATAAACATAATAAAAGCAACAGTAAAATCACAGATTGAGATGGTAGCTAGTAGTATGTCCACACAGTATGACTAAAGTATGGCTTTGCTTTCTTATGTCCAAGGTGACAATGCAGTGTCATATTTTGTATCTGATGGTATGCCAATGATGAACTTCACTGTATTAAAACTTGAGCATTTTATGCCACTTCTTCCCATAAATCAAAAAAAGTGCATGAACACAATTTTCATCCTTTCTTACTCAGAATTCATTGGAGTTACATCTTTATGAAGTGTAATGTTTACCAAATAAAAAAAAAAAAAAAAAAAAAAAAAAAAAAAAAAAAAACAAAAAAAAATAAAAAAAAAAAAGAAAAAAAAAAAAAAAAAAAAGAACTAAAGAAAACAGAAGAAAATGAAAAAAAAAAGGAAGAAAATAAAATTAAAAAAAAGACACATCCTGTCTACTGTAAGGATACGTACAGTATTAGGTATTCTGAGGGAGTCTAAGATCAAGAAGATTTGTTTTGCTTTTAATGCATAGTGAAAATGTTGGCACTTCATCCCATGCTATTGTCTGCATTGCCTATACTCCACAGATACTGCCAGTGCTTGAAAAGAATGACACGGAATCGTAGGATTGTGCTGTTTAATTTGAAGTCAGCAGGTTTTTAAGGCTTTCTGCTAACAATAATTGCTTTCATACATTTCTGTCTATCAGCAGTATTTGTAAATGAAGTGAAATTGCAATGATCAGGTCAGCTCTTTAGTCACATGGGTAAACTTTCACTCTCCAAAGTCAAAATGTAATTTTAAAATAAAGAAATAAGATACCAATATCCTCGATGGTCTAAATATAATTCGCAGCTAATTAGGAACTTCCTCTAGATTCAAATTGAATTATGTAGGGGAAAATACTACTGACGATAACAATAAATTCTTACTGCATCTGTACAAAAGACGACAGAGAAAATGACAAATACAGAGTGCCATAGCATATTCAACCTTCCCCCAAACTTCTGGAGACAATACCTTTCTGAAAACATGAGAAAAGGAGAGCCACTGAAGAAAGCATGAGAACTAGCAGCTAACTTGCTTTCTGTCTGCTGACATATCGTGGTATAGCATTCAGGCGAACCCAGATCCATCATGGACTTTACACTATAGCTCAGATTTTGGTCAAGACTAGCTCCAGCTTCAGAAGACAAGTGCAGTGCATTGCTCAAGTGGATTTTTTTTTTTTAAAACTGCACTTAATGTAATGTTTGGCTGTCTGAACCCTGCATAGCCAGGAGGACACTGCGATTTTTGTATATGCTTGATTAGATTTTTATGAAAATGTAATTCTTATTCTTCTGATTAGGAAAAGACTAATTATATTTTACAGCTACAAACAAGTCATTTTTTTTTCTTTGCCTCAGCTCTTTCTTCTACCGTATCTAAGATCATTCAAAAAGTGCTTTTCAGGACAGATGTTGAATACAGATAGAAAACTTTGTATCCTGGAAAGGGGATTTCTGGGGGCAGAATGGACTAAGAAAAGAATAAATTTAGGGACTAATGCCACTTAAAGTAAGACTGGGACATGGCAATATAGGACACTGAAAGTTTCATTTTTACTCTATGGAGAGTGAAATGCTTCCGCTTTAATAAGCTGACCATATTCCAAAATTAGTGTGGGTGATACAATATTGCGCATGAATTACTGGCCTCACCCTGCAAGAACAGTATTTGATTTGTGCAAATGTCTCTTGCTGCAATTTAGAGAAACAACAACCTGGCATGTTGATTACTGGTGCAGGGTATCTATCATTTCTGTAAGGAAAGCATGAAGAATAGGGTTTGCTTTTTTGGGTATCACTGCTTGGAGTGAGTACCTAAAATAGATGTTGTAGTTTTTTGAAGTATGAAACAAAATCTAGTTATTGGTTAAAAACTATATAAAATTAAAAAAAAAAAAAAGCTCAAAGCTTATGAAGTGACTCCACAGAGTTCAGACCTTTAGCAGTATAAACATAATATAAACTTCATTGTCTGTAGTATTGTGCCATGACATTAGTCTCACTAAGACAAAATGCCACTTTGCAGCAAGCAATAAATCTGACAAAGCATTTTTAAACATAATGCCCTAACTTGCTAAGACAGGCTTTTACACGCTTCCAAACTCTTCTCCCTGAAAATTAACCCCGTTGATTCTCCAAATGTTAAGGGTCTCGGGCAAAAGTAAACCAAAGGCTGAAGTAAAATAACCATCCCCTTGGAACTGAACGAAAACTTAAATCCAGGAGGGATCACAGTCTAATTTCATATACATATATATGTATGTGATACACATATATATGAAATTAAAATAGAGACACACATGACTTGGGCATCAGAAGGGGACTGCTACTTTCATACATTCATAAATAGCTGCTGAACTCTCTACTCATGAAGAAGCTCTTGTAGGCAGTTTGGGGATTTGAAAATCTCGGGGACCTCACTGTCCAGCTTACAGATGACCTTGTATATGGCCTTCTTCCAGGAAGGATCAACATCTTTGCCTGCGATAATGGCATTGAAAAACTCCCGTAACGTGATCTGAGCCACTTCCAGGAATCTCTCTGGAACCTGCTGATACAAGGAGACAATGGCATTAATACAGTTTTCAATTTCAAGTCTCTGGTTCTTCAAAGGAAACTGAGCTAAGTTCTTTCTTTCAGAAAGGGGCTTACATAGCACCTGCATTTTCTAAATGTGGCAGCCTTCTATTCTCTTATGCAAAGCTGTTATATATAGTACTATAGCAATAACTTTTATAACATGTGTTAGAGATCTTTGTAAAGTCTACTGACAGAATGTAGGTAACAAAATGTTACTGTCTGAGTTTGGAGAGTGGGGGATTTATAGGATATAATTAACAGGAGGGGAAACAAACACAATTGTCTTCAAGGGGAGAAATCTCTGCTTGATATTTTACCCATGTATTTATGGCTATGTGCTCCTCTCCGTGTGGGAACTAACACAAAAGTTACGCACACATAGAAAGCCCTCTGTACCTCTGTGCTTAACTTGGGTCACAACCAGTGCTGAGAGCTATCAAAGAAACAGGGTATCTATCTATGAATGTTGTTCATAGTTTAAAAACAAACAAGCAAGCAAACCTTCAGCTAACGGCTTGCTTCTGTGGCTGCTGTGCACAAGACCCCTATAAGATGGCCTTCTCAGGAGACATTATGGTCTTCCCTTCTTTTTCAGAAGCCTACAAATAAAACCCCAGCCTCTTCAATGGGTGCATTGTGCTCCAAGTGGCTACTGAGATCTGGGATGCATTAAACTCATCCGGGTTTTCTAAATGTCACTGTCACTTCACGGGTGAGACAAATGGCCAGCTAGCAGGAGCATGCTGCTCTCAGAAGCCCCTGAACAGTGGGTGAATGTTAAAAAACACAGTTACCTCCAAACTTTGGTAATTCATCCTAAGTAGTTGTCTCAGGTACCAGCACCACCTTCTTACCCTCTGCCTTAAATGATTCAAAAGCAATCTCTATAATGAACCGTAGGCCAGTTGCAAGGTTGAGGTCATCTCCATAAAGGTATTATTTTCCATTTTTATTATGGAAATATGGCTTCACAGATCTAGAACTGCTAATACATGCCCGGCCAGTAGCCAGCATGCTTATAATAGCAAGTATTCCCTCACTGCTACTCTTTGCCCACTCCGGCACGAGGAGTTCTCTAACCTGCAGTAGGGGCCACTTCAACCACTCCTGTGGCCAACAGACACCCAGGCAGATCTCACTCATTTACTGAATGCATGTCACATTGCCAGATCAGGGCCAGCAACTTATCCTCTGCTTCAGGCTTTTTTTCTTCTCCCTTTAGAAGCCACTTTTAGAAAACTTGTCTGGAAATGTGCGTGTTTAACCTGATACAATAGAGCTCTCGAGCCTCGCTCACCTATCACCGTTGGGGAAACACTAGCAGTTTGCTAGCTGTGTTTTGCCACCAGATAAGCACGAGATCAGCTTCCCCTGACACCAGCTGACAAACTGTGCTTCCAGAAGCCCCGCAGCCCGCAGAAGTCCGCTGTCTACCTCCAAGAGTGAAATCCAGCCCCAACACGTTTTTCTCTGCTCCCAAAGACAGGCTGCCTTTTGTGGAAATGTTTCATTCAGTGGGCCGCACAGAAAGAAACATTTTTACGGATGTTCTATTCCAGCAATAATTATGAGGGAAGAAAATAACTATTATGTTTCACTTATTCCAACTCAAAGAAATAACTTAAAACTTCACATAACCACTCTGCTTTTTGGGCATTTGGTAATACATCTACAAAAGATACCATGCTTGTCTTATTATTACATTGCTATAAAAAATTATACACTTTTCTGTTCATGCAGTTCAAACAACTGCTTATGAGCTGTTCATCACCCTTGGTATTGCTGGGTGCTAACCAAGAGGAAGGTGCCATTGACTGCATGATGCTAGAAACCAAGAAATGTAGTAGTAACCAGCTTTTTGGTGTACACACTGATGTTAGCTCATGAGGGCAAAAACTGTTGGTTTTTTGCCTTTGTGCTTGGGAAAAAGAGTTCACACCTTTCAGTTTTGGTGTCCACTCCAGAGGACCAACATTAGATGTCTTTCTTCCCTTCCAAGTCATTGGAGATGGGAGGGAGGCAATTACAAGCACCTACATAAGAAGCATAAAGTCCAAATGCAAAAAGTCGTACATCTCCCTACATGGTTACACCCATGACAACTTTAAGCATGGAAGTGACAACCCGGGTTTTAAGTTGAGCCTTTGCCATTCAATTTCTACCTGTGCATTTGAAACTTTTCCAGGTAGAGGATGCTGCTTTTCCCTGGAGTAGGCAGTGTGAAGCCCCTGAGCCACTAGCTTGCAGGCCTCCCACCCCTGTAAAGACACACAGGCTTTTCTTTTAGACTAGGAGTTAGCTTTTAAGGTCCAGCATCATCGTACCTGGGTCACATCTGCAGGGCCGGACCCCTTTGAACCTGGTACAACAGGCTGCAGAGAGCAGCCCACAAACATAATAGCGAACGAAGCCCTGCAGGGGCTTTGAAGAGCCCTAAAATTTCAGCTGCTTCTTTTGGATGTTCCACCTTGTAATGCTGAGTTCCCCAAATCTCCCCTACCCCTCAGCCATTAGAGCTATTAATAGCTCTTTCCTTTTGGGATGTTATTAGCAATTTTCTGTGTCAGACTGGATTACACACGTTACATTGCATGTTGTAATGTGAATAGCACTATGATTAATACCCATAGGATAGTACGTCAGCCAACATTTTTCCTTTCTAGAAAGAGTAACTGCAGTGGTTTTTGTTGTGGTTTTTCTTTTCCTAAAGAAAATACTAGTGAAGTCCAGAGCCTGAAAATAAATATTTAAATGGATGGGTAGTTATATTTTTCAGTGGGCAATTAATCAGTCAGCCATGTTAATTATGTGTCTGGGGGTGGCATTTCCCTGACCCTAAGTGATGGTGACCTATTCAGCACATCTTTACACCTAACTGACTGAACATCTCTGAAGTAGGAACATCTGCAGAAAATGCTTCAGTGACAAATAAACTCCATCTACGTTGCTTTTAATAGAACCAACAATCCCTAGTATGAACCCAGGGCATTTTCTTAGCATCAGGTGGCAGCAGTCAATCAAAGAATCACACTGTACATTCACCAGGAGGAAAGACAATGAGGTCTGCTCAGGGGGAGGCTAGGTGAGTTTCAGGCTGAAGCCTCCACATCAGACTGATTTAGACAGAAATCACACTTTGCCGCATGCTTTGTCAGTGTAACTTAGCTTCACTGCCAAGGAAAAAGTCACGGGCCAAACTTTGGTCTGGTGTAAATCAGCAGGCCTCTACCAGCCTCAGTGCAGTTATGCTGATTTGCACCTGGTATGCATCGGTCCCATACCTCCTAACACAGTCCAACAACCACCACAGTGCCTCTTCTCAAGCCTTAGCCATGTTAACACATCCCCTTCGTCTATGGAAACTAGGAGGGAATTAAAGCTCTCTTCTGCTCTTGTCTATTTATGCTGGTTTAACTACTGGCATTTTCCTTGCCTTGAACAACAAACCTACACTGTATCACTCCTGGGTTTGCATGTGCAGCTACCATGCCGAACCATTTGGATTAGCACTAGGGGGGACTGCTTTGTTGAAAATACTCAACACAAACTATTTCTATGTGAGTAAAAGTATAGTTCCAATGGCTTAAAAGTTGGAGCCAAGTCAGACCTAACTCTTCTTTCATACAGAAGCATATACAGTTGCAGAAAGCGATAGGCTTTAAAAATACTTGTTGAATTTCTTTTCAAGGAAAACATTACCAAAAAGGCAGCAGTAATTAGGAAGGTGAAGGCAGATCCTCATCAGGTCTAAGTCAGCATTGCTCAAGGAAAATCAGTGAAGCAACACTGATTTTAAGCCAACAAAAGGGATCAGGCTTCCCTTTCTCATGGCATGCATGGACTTTAAAAATCGTCATTGGGAAGGAGGGCACACTAGAAGTAGCCATGTGTCTCAAATTGGTAGCCGATCAGTGGCCCTTCACTGTTTTTCTCATTATTGGGTTGTCCTGTATCTTGTATCTTTTATTAGTTAACTCATTTATTTTTTGGGTTGTGCAGCAAAGACTTTTTCTCCCTTCCCTCCCATTCCCCTCATCTCCTCCCCTCCCCGAGCCCTCCTCCTCCTCCTCTTCCCAGTTGCTTTACCTTCAAGGATGATTTGTTTTATTAAACTGACTGTCCCCAGCCTCTGCAGTACATAATAAAAGCCTGACATAGCAGCCTGCCTGCCTTCTGTGTCCTGCAGATACTCATCATAAGTGTCAGGACATACCAAGGTTAGCGGTCACTGGAAGTGCGCTCACTGGCTCAAGCCTTGCCAAACATGCTTGGCAGCTGAATGAATGTCACAGAGAATAGAAGGGGAATTACAAAGGTTAGAAAGAAGACAGCCTCTCTCTCTCTCTTTTTTTTTCTGGAGATATATAAGCTGATTTTTCACACTTCTGAAATAAACATCAGCTCATTCACAGTCCCTTTCCAGCACCTAAATCTCTCCCATTGTCAAGTAAACCTTTAATTTCTACCCAAGCCTTATTTCTTCATTAGCAAAATAAGATGCTTAATTCTCCCTTAATAGAAAAGGGGAAAAACACCAAAACCAAATGACAAAACAAGTCACAGGTCTGCTCAAAGATTTATATGTGTATTTCATGTTGTTAATCCTATTATGGGTGGGCTTCTTTACAGTTAAGCATTTAAACTTTCAAAAATTCTTGTTCAAGTGGTAAATCTAGATGATAGAAAAAGCAATACAGATGCAAAGATCACAGAATTGTGAAAGTCAAGTTAAAACCGATATTCCAGAGAATCGTGTTTTGTTTTTTTACTATAAAAGGGCAATAAAATGCTGACTGTAAGAAGACAATGTCAAGGAGAAAAGGGTATTGGTATTTTGGATACTCTTGACTGCTCGCCTTGGAGAGAGAGTTATTCTTGTCACAAACCCTTTTGTCTGCATCTGCTGACTGCTTGCCTGTAGCCAGCAGCATACTTTAACTGTTTTGTCACCTCCTAACATCACATGCA